CAAAATGAGAATTATTTCCACCCATCTCTGAAGTCTGCTTGCTACTGGGATGAGACCTTCAGGCGGCTTAGAGACCTCAGCTCAGCACTGTGGGGGAGAGTGGGACCCACTCTGAAAGCGCACAGCCTCCTTGAAGGATTTAACCACTCCAGCTGAGGAGAGAGTTGGTCTCTATGTGATTAAAACTGCCAGGCTGATTTTACCTGGTGTTACCTACACTGAACTTTTTTGAACGCAAGATCTTTTTAAGGTTCTTTCAGCTCAGATTACAGTCACTGCCATGGTGCTGCAGAGCCTAGCTGTCTTTTTGTGCTGTGTTATGTTTCCTCTGGAGACTGTCTTCTGCTTTATTGCCCTGGTTGCTGAAGGGACCGAGCAGCTTTCCCAATGGTCTGGAGCAAAGCTGTTCATCAGACCTGGTGTTTGGCAGTAAAATGACAAGCTGGGATACAGACTGCTTCACTTTTGTCTGTTATGCCTTCTGGGTTTGAGGAGTTTGCAAGGGGGCACAGGAGATCTATTTGCGGCAGCAGAGAGCATGCCTGCAAAAGGACAGTCCGCTGGAGAGATGCTGATCAAGAAGAAAGAGCCTGCTGTCTTCCTGAACCTCGAATGTGAACAAGACATTGTGTGTGAAACCTGGGCTTTGCTGAAGCTGGTAACATTGCCATGGGTTTCAGGCAAGCCAGGTTCAGTGTGATCAAACTCCCTGACTGCTGGAGCCGCGTGGGCACGGCAGCAAGCCAGGAGCCTCTAAGCCATTCCACATTTCTCCTTTGTGGCCATTTTGTTGTTCGGACACATATTTATCTGCCATTAAGAATGCCGTGATGGAAATTAGGCTGGGATCACTCCTGCAGGACATGTTAGTGGGTAACACAGTTCCCTCTACCCAGGGGTTCCATCGGGGAGTGGGTTCACCCAGCTGCTCAGGGACTCCCCAGCGTGGCCAAGACTTGACCCTGCAATTCACATATCTTATGGTACAACTTACACATAAATACGGAAAACTGCTTTTATTCCTGGTCCTTCTGTGCTGGTGTTTGCGGATATCTTTTCAAGTATTTTGCTTTTGTGGTGGGTTGGAAGGCCAGTAAGAAACAAGGCAAGAAGATGGAAATGTATTTCCATGTGAAGGGGCTATGAGGCAGCTCTGGCGCCACCACGGCTTTCAGCCTGGAAGGCACCGTGCAGGCAGAAGTCGGGCAGGGTGTACCTGGTCTGTGTGGGGTGATACTCAGCTGCGAGTGCGGGAGGGCTGCTGTGTTCACCTGCTGGGCAACGCTGACAGCAAACGTGAGGCGCAGACACGTGCCATCAGATCAATAGATCAATCCACTGTAGTGGGCTGCAGGTCCCAAGGCGGCTGCCGTGGTGTGGAAGAGGCAGGAAGGTGACACAATGAGTGGAGTCTGGTCCTCAGGAAAAGCCTGGTGTCTTGGACTCTGTTTGGTTGTACAGGTCTTTGGGTGATGTACGCGCATCTACTGGGCTTGATTCTCTGGTTTAGGAAAGCAGATCACACTTGCACCAGCTGAAGGCTTACCCCTAAATTATACCAAAGAAGAAAACCAAAAGCTAAAAATTTCACGAGCCTGGTAGTTGTTATACGAGATGTGCTTCACTTGCTCCCTACCTTGCAGCTGACTTCCGTGGGATTTGGGATTACCTGGAGCCTTTCAGGAGCTGTCTTTAGGTTGGCTGTACATCTGGGATTAAGGCATACTAGCCCAGTGCATTTGCTCTATCTTAGAGGAACTCAGCATGTTGCTTCCAATCCTCACTGGGGGCTGTGATCCTGGGTGCAGCACTATCCTTATGTTCCCCAGCTTGTGGGCTGGAACTGGGTCAGTCTCTAACCCAGAACTTGTCCCATGGAAAGGGACAAGAGAGGTAATGAAGCCTTTAGTCAATGTGGTAAGGATGTGGGAATGCCCGGCAGGGCTGATCCACCTGGGGATCTCTGAAAATGAGGTGTTTTTATCCTGGATACATTGGCTTTGGGATTAATTTGCCCTGTTCCTGTGACATTAACCAGCCAAAGATCTGAGTTGTGTTTTGAATGTTTTATTGAATGAAGCAGGAACAGGAGCTCTTTCCAGTAAACTTGCTGCAGACTTTAAATCCAGATGCTGTACAGTAAATATTTTTCTCTTCCCTTCTAGTTCACGTGTGTTTTCAGATCAAGATTTTTTTCCAAAAAATGGTAAGGCTTTTTTTTTTTTTTTTTTTTGTCCGTGGGCTGAGTGGCTGGATACTGGATGTTAGCGTGGCTGTAAAAGATCTTCATTCCCAGATGTTGCTTCTGTTGGCTTTAGTGACTCTTCTGTCAAATGTGTTGTTAAAGCATATGCCTCTTCAGAACATACCCTTTAAAGGATTTGCCTGTTAAAATAATCATTTACTGACTGACGCTGAGATACAGTGAGAATGTGGAAGAAAGAAGTATTCACTTTTTTTTTTAACCAAATGAAAACAGAGTTAAATGTTTGATGGATGGAGCTGTGAGAGTGTCCATGAAATGATCTGTCACCTATGAAACTTCAGTCTCCTGGCAAGCAGTCAGGCCATCAGGTTATTTGTCACAGCTTCCCATCTCCAGCCAGTTCAGGGAAAGAAATTCCCACCCATAGTTACACGCTTTTGCTCTGCAATTCAACACACGCCATTGACAACAAAGTTTGCTGTATGAAGAAAGAAGAAGCTTTTGTTAAGTGTGTTTGGGCTGAATAAATACATGTATAGGCTGAATCCTGTCATTTTGGGGCACTGGAGTTCTTCCCAGTAAGGGTGGCAAGATGTTCAATGGAAAGAAGAGAAACCTTGTTGTATGAGTAAGGTAAGATAAACTAGAAAATGGATGTATTGAAGGCAGTATTTGCACCAAGCCCAATATTTCCCAAAACAATGTCAGGTATTCTGAAATACATATTTTGTGCAGAGATAACTATATATGCATGCCTGCACATTTTGTGCAGGCATAAGAATGTGCAAAGTTATGCTTTTATAAATGATTGAACGTTTTTTTTGTGGGCTAATAACACACTTTCTTCTGCAGGTCCACGTTATGACGGTGGTGTGAAGCCAAAATTTAATGTAAATCAAGTAGCAATTACACAGGTAACGTTTGAAGGAACCGGATGTGTGAAGTTTTTTCATAGCACATTGAGATATTTTAATTTGTATTATTGAATTAAATAATATATTGTTTACAAGAAATAGCCAACAAAACTGTCTAAATCATTGAGATGTGGTACTGATTCACCACATGCTGTACAGGATACCGTCTGCTTTTCTGAGAAGTGAGCTAAGACTTCAGTTGCCATCACTGGTGCTGACCAGCAGTGGGTTTGGGCACAGGGTCTTGCTGAAAGAACCAAATCCTATCATCCATATTCTGTCCAATGCCAATTGACTGGTGCAGCCAGTATTTTGCTTATATCACTTGGTACTAAAAGAACAGCTGAGGCAAAACTGCTGATTGTTTAAATTTAATAGGGAGTTTTTCCTGAGTCCAGCCTGTAGGTCTTATCAAAAACTGAGCATAAAAGGCTTCCTTATCAAAACCCCTGCAAATGATGCAATCTAATTTAAATAATCTGTTGATTAAATCTCTCTCATCTGTACTTCTGAGAAGACAGCCTTATCATTTATACAAATGACAGTCACAGTCAATTTTTCTTGCTAGCTGTTGCATCACATTTTCTGACCATGATCTTACCTTGCTTTCAGTTTATTGCTGTGCGTACATACTAATTTTAATCCTAAATCAGTCTTGTGCCATATGTAAGGTCAAGCATCAAAAGGGGTCTTTCAGGGTCTGAGCTGGGAGATGTGATTCGCTAATCTGAACAGAAAAAAAAAATCTCTCTTTAAGCCAAGACAAAGCTTTGGGGCTTAACCACATCCCTTCTGGAGCCTGGTAAGATGCTGTTTATGGCTGGGACACAGAATACCTCTCTTGTTTGTACATGATTTGAACTTGCTTAATCATATGCCATGCAAAACAGCCATGCAGACATTGTATGTATTACCATATTCAGATAGGACATATGTGGATGGAAAAGAGTTGGTGTCTGGAAATTTTAGGTTGAAATATGAAATGACAGTTAAATTTTGAAGTCCTTTCTGAGCCCTGACTCACTGTCTCAAATTATATTGCCTGACACCCAAATTGTCCTCCTTTTGCTAAGAAATTTGGCTTAGAAGGGATAGCATTTTTCTAACATCTACAGATGACACAGAAGGTGCAGTCCCCAGGTTTTAGTCTTACAAATGACTGATTTTGTAAAGGCGGGGATCCATACTTGAGCCATCCTCTTCTGCAAGAGTCATTTTCCTGATTTTAAAGCCATCATGAGCCAAACTGTCTGCAGGTAGATGTGGACTTGGACATTCCTTTGGAAGTAGATGTAGACTTGGATGTTTTCTTGGACAGCTGCCTAGTGTGCTTTCAGTGTGGTAGGATGTATCATTGGCCCAGGCTGAATCCTCTTTAGTGTGTTGAAGTAATTCTTAAACATGTCTTAGAGAGTATTCTGAGCACCTTGTGATCCTAGCTTTGTTTCAATTTTTTTTATGTTGAGCACAGTGAGATGGGAGCATGCTACGAATGTGGTTTGCCCTGGTGATACGACCCTAGTAGAATAAATATAACTTACATTGGCTTTCTGGCCAGTTGTGCTGGAGCTAGAGGTCTGTATGGTGCCATTCCTGTGGTGGGAAGGGTCTAGCCAGAGATTTGTCTGCTTTCTCAGTTCAGTACTGCTGTGGCTGAGAACTGGGTCCACAGGTGCTCTCTAAGTGCTGGCCTCGTTTATTCTGGTAGGATGGAGGGTAACTCCTTAAATACTCATCTTCTGATACTCATCTTGTATGTGGTCAATCAGGTTGTCAGCTACAACATGAGCAGGAAAGGACAGTGGGAAAGAGCATCCTGGAGGCCGTTCACCCATAGCCCTCTCAACGTCACGGTTAATGGCATCCCCTGCATTCTCTTCTGGGCCAAGAGGATCATGATTAAGTTTGAAAACCACACACAGCTGGATTTGACGGAGAAGACATTTGGTGTCCATGCAACAGTGGATGTTGGAGATTCAAACTGCAGTGAAGACAATGCAATGTAAGGTGGCATTCTACTCTGCCGATGGAACTAGTACCAGATAACAAGTCTAGTAAATACATACTGAAGGAAACAGACCTTGTATTATGTGGTGTAAAGTCCCAGGGGAAAGCTTCTTCCTATAATGTCCTGACGTTGCGGGCAGGGAGGCAGCATGGGTTATGTACTTTCAGACCAATCTTTCGTGGGGCACGTAGATGTACATAGTTGTCTTCATCTCTTGCAGTGGTGTAGTCAACCCTTGTGGCCAGTTAGTTTTGCTGCTAGTGCCTGTGAGGCTGAAGCCATAGATCTCTTTAATATCCAGCTGTTTTACATACCTGCTTGGGAGATTGAATAGGGGATCCTGTGCTGAATATGGGGGCTTAGGGGCTGCCTGTGTGTGACTGCTTATACCTTCATAGGATTTGTGTCAGCAGTAATGTAAACCATTGGTACAAGATGCAGATGTGTATTTAGAAACACAGTTAGGTAGCTCCAGGTTCTAGGATGTGATCCGTGAGCTGCTGAAGCTGAAGGGTGAATTCACTACGGAGCTGAAGAGTCTCCGAAAAACTGAGCTCTGCATCCTAGTCTGTCATTAATTTCTTCAGCATGAACAGCACAGTGCTTTGCTCCTGCTAAACCTGAGAGAGAGCTATATATTAACCTAACTGGATCCCAAATCCTCCAATCCCATGGCCATACTAGAAAGGTGTGTAGGTTTTTTGATTTCCTTTGTAGTGTACCTGACCGTTTCTCTCCTTCCATGTAGTGGGCTGGCTGGCTTCATGTCTAATACCAGGTCGTTGATTCCACTCTGGTAGGCAACAGTCTAAAAATTAGGAGGTGGATACCTAACTGGGCACGTGCTGTACATGAGCATTGAGTCTTCCCCATAAATGGAGTTTAAATCTATAATGACACACAAGAATAAAAATAACATGACCAATGCCAGCAGTTTCATTTAGCTCCTATGCAACATTTCACCTGTACATCTAAGGACATTTCCACAGAAAGTAAGTGTTCTTTCTTTCTGATTATATGTGAAGGCTAACCAAAGGCTAACCAAAGGTGCACAGAAATTTTAGTGAGGTTGCAAGAAAACTAAAAGCATAGTTGAAAAAGAAGCCAGGTTTTCTGCCCGTGGTATCAGAGTATTCAACCAGGCAGTCTGAGTTTTAAGTCATCATAATGTGAACTAATCCAGCACTATGTTTTGAAAGGCAGAGGTAGAGAATGGAATAATATGATTTTAAAAATAAAAAAGAATAACTTAACAAACATTCCTTCTTCCGTTCTGGTGTGCAGTTCAGAGATAATCTTAGTCTTATTAGTAACGGTTGTTACCTAGTAGAAAATATACTCATAGAATCATAGAATCGCTTTGGTTGGAAAAGACCTTTAAGATCATCGAGTCCAACCGTTAACCTAACCCTGCCATCCCACCACTAAACCATATCCCTAAGCACCTCATCTATCCTTCTTTTAAATACCTCCAAGGATGGGGACTCTACCACCTCCCTGGGCAGCCCATTCCAGAGCCTGACAACCCTTTCAGTGAAGAAGTTTTTCCTAATATCTAACCTAAACCTGCCCTGGTGCAGCTTCAAACCATTCCCCCTCGTCCTATCATCTGTTACCAGGGAGAAGAGGCCGACCCCCTCCTCACTACAGCCTCCTTTCAGGTAGCTGTAGAGGGCAATCAGGTCTCCCCTCAGCCTCCTCTTCTCCAGACTAAACAACCCCAGTTCCCTCAGCCGTTCCTCGTATGACTTGTGCTCCAGACCCCTCACCAGCTTGGTTGCTCTCCTCTGGACATGTTCCAGCAATGCAACATCCTTCTTGTAGTGAGGGGCCCAAAACTGAACACAGTATTCGAGGTGCGGCCTCACCAGCACCGAGTACAGGGGCACGATGACTTCCCTTGTCCTGCTGGTCACACTATTCCTGATACAGGCCAGGATGCCATTGGCCTTCTTGGCCACCTGGGCACACTCTCGGCCCATCGATCCAGCCTGTCCAGGTCTCTCTGCAGAGCCCTCCTCCCCTCAAGCAGATCAACACTACCACCCAGTTTGGTGTCGTCTGCAAATTTGCTGAGGGCACACTCAATCCCCTCATCCAGGTCATTGATAAAGATATTAAACAAGACTGGCCCCAGAACTGAGCCCTGGGGGACACCGCTTGTGACCGGCCGCCAACTGGACTTAGTTCCATTCACCACGACTCTCTGGGCTCGGCCACCCAGCCAGTTTTTAACCCAGCGAAGAGTATATCCATCTAGGCCATGAGCCGCCAGCTTCTCCAGCGGAAGTAAGGATTTCAAACCATGAAGTATAGTTTTATAGTTGTTCATGAGACTTGATAGTTGTTCATAAGGCAGAAAGACAGTGCAGTGATGGACTGCAAACTCCTACTGGAGCTGCTGTTTAGAGACTGTTGGAGTTGAGCAGGCTACTCGGTCTACCTATCTGTCACAGGTACCTCTGCAGTCTGGTTACAGTAGTGCATGCTTCATTCTGTAAATACAGAGTTCTAAGAAATTAGGACTTGTCCTGGCTCTGGCTGGGAGGCAGATGATTCTCTTGTGTTTTGGTTTTGTGGCTAAAACAGTGTTGATAACAAACCAGTGCTTTGGCTCTTGCTGAGCAGTGCTTGCACAGTATCCAGGCTTTCTCTGTTTGCCACTCTGCCCCCCACCAGTGAGTAGGTTGAGGTTGGCAAGAGGCTGGGAGTGGACAGTGCCTGGACAGCTGACCCAAGTTGGCCAGAGTTATATTCACTGCCATATGGCGTCATGCTCAGCAGTAAAAACTGGGGGAGAGGAAGAAGTGGGTATGAGTTGTGCCTTCCGGGGTGGCAGTTGCTCAGAGATTCACCGGGCATGGGTCAGCTCATGGGGGGTGGTCAGTGACTGCCCTTGCAAAACTTCAGTGTTTTTTTCCCCTCCTCTTTTTTAGTTCTCTCTCTTTTGCTCTTCCTGTTCTTTCCCCTGTGCTGCTGTGGGGTGGGGGTTGAGTAAGCCATCGTGTGGGTCTTAGCTGCTGGCTGGGGTCAACCCACGACAGGGCTGTATATTCTGCTTGATGCATTAGCTTGGAAGATATTTTGGAATTTATAGAACACATTATTCATTAAAAAAGCTGCAGGAAGAGTCAGGAAGCAGAACAACTCTACAGCAGACGCTTGACATGCCTTTTGTCAGTGTTTCACCATATCTGAGGTTTGATCTCAAAATCTGTGGGGCCAGAGCCATCTCATCTGCCACATCATTTGATCTTCCTCTTTGTTTCTCCCATAGTTTTCTGAGTAGCCTCAAACTAGGGACATAACTGTTAAAGGCAAGCAGGACCTTGATGTTTAGTTTGAAGCTGAGGCAGGCATTTTTTTGCTGAGGTCAGGAGTCATACTATGACTACTTTCCTCCTCTTTTCTGTGCAGAGAGAGAGGAGAATGCTACCCCTTCCCAATGTTTTTCCTTTCTTGCATCTTCTGTACATTTTTTATTTGGGATGCACTGAGTAATACTGGTCCCACTGACTCCTGCCATTTGAAAGTGCTCCAGAATCCTAACCAAGAAAACCCTGTCCTACTCTGAGCTCTTGTTAGGAGGGATTTGTTGGGAAATTTAACAGGTTGCACGAACAGATCTGTGGCATCTCTGCTAGCTCCATGTATTAAGTCATTAGAAACTGTATGTTTCAAATATCCATTCATCCATTGCTGCTGACAACTTTTAAGTACTGATTGAGGTCCCTGTGTAGAAATCATGCTCTACAGATAGGAAAATGGATTATCTGGGCTCGTGAGTCAGGATTAGACTCAGTTTAATTGCCAAATTCAAGTCTTGGGTTAGATTTTCAGTAAACCTGCAACTGACTGCAGCAGAGATGAAAGGGAAAAACTGGTTTGAATGTTGCTCTGTAATCTCAGGTTTAAGAACTGACCTAAATTATGCCAGTTAGATGGCTGAGTGCTCACACGATGCATTGCCCAGTTTTTCTCACCCCAGAAAAGTCCCTTGAACTTGAAAAGTCCCTTCTCCAGCCTTCTTTGTTAAGACAATACTCTGTTATGGCTTTAGGTCAGCTTTGAAGCTGCTTTATGCTGTCTGCTCAATGCAAAGTAGCTGGAGCCAGGAAGAAATATTTGGCACTGAGCATACATGTATTTGCTATACAAATATAATAATCCAACCTGTGGGGTTTTTTTACGCAGTAACTTCTAGATCAGGCTACCGAGCTTAATGCTGCATTTGCCTGTGTCTAATCCTCAACTGTCTATGATTTCCCTTTTTAATAGAGTTAGGGGTAATCTAGATTCAGTGTCCTGGCTTATTGGACCAACGTTAGTCAAGGTACAAGAAGTATAGCTCTTGTATGAAATCATAGGGCTAGCTGTTTTTTTTTTTTTTATTCATCTTTAGGTTCAGAAGTCTTTCAGACGCTGCATGATTTCACTCTGTTTTGGCTCTAGCTTAGTCTGAAAACGTTATGTCAACAGCGAGAATCTGTTATGCAGGATTTAAGAGGCAAAATATTATTGTTAAGCCAAAAAAATGTATACCACTTAATCATGCAGTGCTATAATGCATAAATTCCAGAGATGGTAGAAGGATGGTAGAGCATGCATTAGTTTACAATTAAGCTGCTAGGGCCTTTCACTTTAGTAAACTTCAGATGCCCATGCGCACCACAGATAAGCTATGTAGAGCTACCTCACAGTCAGTGTATTTATATTGCTCTCATGATGCACAGGTGTGAAATTCGAACTCAAGTGTCATTTGCTTTAGTTATGCTCTAGTTTCTAAAAAGATGAGAATCCTGTGGCTGTTTACACTTCCTAATGGCATACAGAGGTGATTCATGACTGAGATACCATGGCTTGAGGAGGAGAACACAGACCAAATGAACCTAATTGTCAACCAATGTTGGAAGCAGTGGGATTGGATTGCATTAAAGTTGAGCATGCAATTCTGTTCTTTCTGCATAGTCTAGGCCTCCCTCATATTAACAGCTCAACTACTGGATTTCACTGGAGGAAGATTTAATCCTTTCAGTTTTTTTTCCCACTGACTTCAAAGGTATACTGAGCAAAAGGCTTCATGTACTACTATGCTTAATCTTTTTGCTGCTTTTTTCTCTTAAGATTTCTGAAGTCTTTATCTAGCTTGACATTACTTGCTTTTTGACCTAGGCTTTCTCTGAAGTTTGGTGACATTGGCAATCTAAAGGGTCTTGTTATTAGGTAAGTTTATATGATAAATAAAATACTAGATAATCACATATTAATACCTATTGTTACACAGTCCTTGTGCAATTTGTTTTAGGAGAATTTGTGTAAGCAAAAATAATGTGATAGAACTGTTGATTGTATAATGAAGACGTTGCCATTTAATAGGTCTGCCATGTGCCTCCCTTGTTTTATTAAGGCATTTCTTCTTCTGTGTTGACTTTTCTGTTAATAAGAAAAGTTCAGGTCATCTATTTTGTATAGAATATCTGAGATTTTTGCTAAACCTTGCTAATTAGCAACATTTTTGTCTGGGACTTTTGCCACAAGAACTGATAGTGTGGGCTGCTCAGGCATCCAACTGTGACCTACTTTACATTTGCTTCTTGACGACCAAAGAAAACAACACTTCTTGATAAATGGTTTCCTGTATCTTGGATAGAAGTGCAATACCAGTGTTGCATATAGAGTTTTCTCAGTCATTTCCTTTCACTGTTTGGGAGAGCAGTAAACTCTTTCAGCTGCAGCAATGAAGAAACTCAAATAATTTTCCAGACTCAATAGAAGGAGCTAGAGCTCACAGTGATACAAATGGATGAAACTCTGGTAATACCAGCATGTCTTCTAAGATTGTTCATCATGTGAATTTAATAGTTCCATCTCTTATTTAGACTTGCTTTCTTATTCATCTTTTTTCCCCTACAATATTTTCAGGTTCTTATTAACAACCAGCTATTACCAGCTATCTGTTCAGAACTGGTTCAGTTTACACAGACTGCAACTTCTTTACAACCACTCCATACAAGCGACCTTTAATGCGACTGGAATATGTGCACCGGCAAGTTACTCCTACCACTGTGAACGTGTGAGCAGCTTGCAGAGATATGATGCACTTCTCACACCCAGCTCTGCAAATGATCTTTCAAAGCTTTGGGAAGTCACTTTTATTGATTTCCAGGTAACGTCATGGAATTAAGCCAAATGGATCCTGTAGGTAGACCGACGGGAAATTTTGCACTTCACTGCCAAGAAAGTGTAATGACCTTCCATGTACAGCTTACGGGATCTCCATGGAACTTGAAATAGAAATGAAGACTTAGATAATTATACTTATCTTCCTGTCAAAGGAAATGAAAGGCTGTCTAGATTTTCTGTAGTCTTTTGCTTGGGTTTCCTTTTAGTGTGGGGAGTGAATTTAACTTTCAGTGTTAGATCTCTCTGAGCTGGGTTCTGAAACTCAGCATCAATAACAGCATCGGTCACCACGTGTGGGATCCATCTCACTTAACTTTTGATGCCTAGTAATTTTAACCTTGTGCCCTGATTATAGTCACCCCAGCCTGCCTCTAAAGCCAGTGGATAATTCCTCTGACTCATCTTAAGTCCTTATTTTTGGATGAGATTAATCATCTTCTGAAAGTGCCTATTTTTCTGTGTTGGGCAGTAAGAGAACCTAAGATAACAGGGCTAGTTTGTCTTGCTTGTAGATAGTTAAGTTATAGGGCAAAATAGCTGAAAAAGGGAATTTAGGGAGAAAGCTGATCCCCCTTTTCTCACCATGTGATAAATGCCCATGGACTGATTTAGTGGATCAGACAGTCAATTCCCTGAATGCCAATGTGGTAAACTTCATGTCGGAACTGAAGCCACAAGCAAAACGTACTGATATTGGCCATAGTTGAATGCAAGTTCACGGAATTTAGATGATTTACTGCCATATATCACACACTTGGATCTAGTGAGAAAAATCTAATATTAAGATAGGCAATTGAGAATATTTCTTTGTTTGTCATGTTGAAGTTTATGCAGTCTGAAGCAGAGAGTCTGGAAATTCTCAAAAAATTATGCTGGAAATGCACCGTTAACTTGAAAGGTACCATGCTTACAATTAAATATTACTGGGCTCTTAAAAGCGATCATGGAAGATTTTGTTTAAAACACAACTGCAAATCCTTTGGGCAGCAGAGTGAAGGGGATTAGAATAACTGGTGGTTTCTAGAAGGCTGACCTGGATAAACTCTGAACATTAACTCCAGCTAGTACTGAGATACAATTTTGCAATAGGCGAATATTAAATTAAAAATTCTTACTGGCATCAGGAGAAAATTCACAAAGTTATTTGTAATCAAGATGCAAGTTCTTTATTTAATATGAGCTCTTTTGTTCTCTTTGTAGATTCAAGGTTTTAATGTTCGAGAAGGACATTTTGCCTATGCAAAAGACTGTGCATCCTTTTTCTCCCCAGCAATACTGATGGGATTGGTTATGTCGCTGATTCTGCTGCTGGTTCTTGTCTACGCTCTTCATATGTTGATCCACCTGAAATCTCTTGACAGGCACTATGACTTCAAAGCTTCTCCTGCCTATTTTGCGCAGATGAAAGACAGTGACATGGGAGATGAGAAAGAGCCACTGAGAAGCAGTGGAAATGAGGCCTGTGAACTTAAAAACCAACAGTTCTGTAAAATCTATATTTAGCAGTGTGCATCTGTCTCAGTGAAATGAGTGGTATTTTCTTCTGCTGGCACTGTCATGTGTAGTTTGTGCAGATTTTTCACCAGTTGATGAAAGGAAAAGTAGGTAACAGACTGCTTAGCCAGTTACTGTCTGTTATTTATTGATAACCACCTCAAAGATGCCTTGGGAAACAAGACAAGAGGAAAAAAAAATCCATTGTAAGAGATTTCATGTCATGGGAATTTATTCCTGTAGTACAAAATGAAAATGCGTATCTTTTAATCCAGTTTACCAAGTCTTGAAGAGAGAATCAGTAATGGAGACTTTGAAATTAAATAAAGACACAGAAAAATGCAAAACAAAGAAAATATCTTTGCTTATTCTTTCAGAAGGCAAGATTTTTACTGGTTTTGTATTTGCTTCATCTACCTTGCTGTGTGCCCTGACAAAATAGCATCCATTCCTTTCCCAGTACATGTTTTCCTTTTATTTTCCCAGTTACATCCCCTCCTCTTTGTCCTCATAAACTCCTTTTTCTCCTTCGGAGTCTTCAGAGCTGTATAAGCTGTGTATTATCCACTACAGTGATGAAATAGTGATGGCTCCGGTACAGCAGCATCTTGATATTTTTCTCTGTCTAAGCTGGAGGCTTACTGTAAGGATCTAGTGGGAGAACCGTGGACATCTGGTCAAAGGCTTACCCTTAACTTCCCGGCTCAACTCCATGCCAAAAGACGGATTATGAGCATTATACCCTCTAATTCTAGGTTAATTTCTTTTCTATCAAATCCTATCGGAATTGAAAATATATATATAAACAAAGTGGTGTAAGCTCCCTAGCAGTGAAAAGGATACTGGGGTATAATTTTCACTCCTGCACATTTAAGATACTGTCTTCCCATTCATCCTTTCTTCTGTTAAGGATCAAAGTTTGCGAACTCCAAATTAGCCTGTAATTTGGCCCCGACTTCTAGCAAGGAAGAGCACAGTAATGTACTAACTGTAGTACTTTTAGGTCACATGTAATACAAAATCCAGCATGTTAGAAAATCTTCAGCAAAACCAGATTTAGTAAACAAGTGCCTTTTTTATTTTAGATAATAGATCTAATTAGTTGTTTGTTGTCTTTGTAAACTATACTGCAGTGGGCTTTAAATACCTTGAGAGATGTCCAAAGGTTTCCTGTTTATTAGCACAGATGACACACAGACTAGATATGGAGTCCAAAGCAGTTAGTTGATTTAGGAAGGCACTTCAGAGTCAAAAAAAAACCCCCATAAACAAAACCATTTTTGAGGCATAACCAGGCATAAAAGATAAGCTTCTGGGGACTGGGCAAGGTTGCCTGTGGCCAGTTACTGCCAGACTTTATCTGTTTCATAAAGGAAGCAACCAAAAACGTGCATGTCTGGGAACCTGAATGAGGGTAAAATGAGAAGGTGCAAATAAAACCCACAGTATTCTATATGGAGCATCAGAACAGTCACCGGCTTGGCCCCCTCAGCTTACAGACAGTGGTGACAGGTGTATAGGCTGATGGCAGTGTTAGAAGGGACTCAGGATGCCAGTGCTAAATAGGTGGTGTTCCTCAGAGTCTGGAGAGCAGTGCCTGGGGTTTTCTTGCCTGTCAGGCAATCAAAACCTGACTCTAATCAGTGATAGCCTGACTGTCAAAATTACCATCATTGGCTGATGTAAAATACCCATTCTGCAGAGCTGTGCATGGTGGCTTTGGGCATGGCAGCTCTCCCTAAACCTCATGTTCTCTGAGGCATGTTCCTCATGCATCCTAGTTCCTCCCGCAGAGCTCATTTAACCTTCTGGTTAGCATCCGATGATGCTGTCAGTAGAGTCCTTACCTATCATTTTCTTGCGTGTTTTAAATAGTCAATATTAGCACCATTGCTGTAAGAGGTTCTTACAAGACTGATAAATTGGGAATAAGGGAACTTCCCTCCAACCATGCCCCTCACTCCTCATGTCCTCCTAAATCTCCTTCCCCAGCTATTTTCCAACCCACCCACGTTCCCTTTGCCTTATCTTGGTTTTGAGGGTGAGGTGGTATCTGCTGGCTATATAAGCCATATGTTTGTAAAGAGTTAATGATGCTTTAGTGGAAGAAGCACCAGAAGAAAGAATCATTGTCATTGCAGTTTTGGTCTCCTTGTGCCACATATAAAAAGAAGCACCCATGGTTGAAAAAGACAAAATGTGGATTTTTGCATTCCAGGTAGGCTGTGTTTTCTGTGAGCCAAACAATCCTTACCAAGCACACATTTTGGAACAACATAGGCATTCCATTGCTCTGGTCCTGAAACAAGAAAATTCAAGTTAAAGTTATTTGCTTGCTACAAAAATAAGCTACATTGGCACTAACAGACTCATTAATAAAATATAAGTGTTTTTACATGGTCCGCATTCTACATAATTTCGTTGCTGCATGAGAACACAGCAGCCTTTTCAACATACCTATGCTATTCAAACAAAAGCCTTAAGGCATCTTTTCAAAGCTGATTCACTCTTTCAAACTCAGGGCCCCATCCACTCTCACTCAAAGTCCCATTTCCTTTAACTGAAACCGGGTAACTTTCACTAACCACGCAGCCTTGACTGTGCAATGTTAACACAGAATTGAACGCATACCTTTGTTTCTCACACATTTCAGCTGCTGTAGTCAAAATTTTATATAGTTGCCCCTCACCCCAATATTAGGCAACTCCACATCTGTGGAAAACTAGGTTTTCAGGCAGTACATTAAGTACTGTTGTTCGAACTGAAGTGGTGGACTGTTGGCATAGTATCAGCTACAAATGCACAAGGAATAATCAAAGCCAAGGTCACTGTGAAGACAGGGAGAAAAACCACAAGTCCACCAGCTGCTAAGTATCAGCTGAATTCCAGCAAGCCAGGAAGAAATTGATTTATTTCTTGCCTTCAAGTTTTTAAAAAGGTTGCATTTCCCTCCCCTCCTTTAAACATCGATTATTGCTGTAGCAGGACTGGTATTTCTGGCAGATTTTTTTTTTTTTTAAATTAAGGACTTTCAAAAAAATTGGATGCAACCTTCAGTTTCAGAAGCTGTCCCCAGGAGCACAGAAGGAAGGCCTGTTTGGGAAAAAGGTGGCCTAGTACAAAGGGAAAAATGGCCACTTCAATCCTGAAAAGCTTTATGTAACCATGAGTAACAAAGAACCATACCCTTAGCCGCTGTTGCTTCTTACTTGTATGCACAGAAGATAGAGTCAGTGGAAGAACAATTCCTGCGGGAGGATCTCTACTCAGCATCATCCTAAGAAGATCTTCCAAATACCCGACACCAGGGCTTTGGACTCACATTCAGGTTACCATCACCGGTAGCCTGTGTTATATCTTCTGCTAGTGACAGGACAAGGGGTAATGGTTTTAAACTGAAGCAGGGTAGGTTTAGACTGGATCTAAGGAAGAAATTCTTTACAATGAGGGTGGTGAAACACTGGAACAGGTTGCCCAGAGAGGTGGTGGAGGCCCCATCCCTGCAAAATCCAAGGCCGGGTTGGACGGGGCTCTGAGCAACCTGGACTGATTAAAGATGTCCCTGCTCACTGCAGGGGGCTTGGACTAGATGGCCTCTAAAGGTCCCTTCTAATCCAAAACATTCTATGATTCTATGACTCAGGTAGTAGCAAATCAGTCTTCAGTTCTCTCCATGACTTCCATAGCTCAGATTACCCTCCGATGTTTGCATTTTTCAGGATGGGTCTGTTCTTCACCATTACTTGAATGCCTCTTCAGGTTTTCTCCATTTCCAGTAAGCCTTGTGACATAGCATTTAACTGATGTATGATTGATCTTAAACCTGCCTCAGTGGTCCCTAGCTCACCCCTTAATTTGTTTGCTGTAACATTACAGGCCATATCTGATATTACTGAACAAAGATCCAAAACCACCTGCAGAGCTGTGTAAACCCTGTTAACAGCCAGTCATGTAATATGAATCATATTCTTTGCAAGAAACTTTTCATTAGAATACAGAATTTGCCCCAGCTGAAGGAGCACATCAAGAGCTGTGACTTGCATGTGGCCACGCTGGTTGGGATGCCACGCTGTGCGGTCTTCTAAGCTTGGTTGGCTTGCAGTAATAGGGTCAGGAGAAGTGGACACAGACTGAACAGCCAGATTGGGATTCATCATCCAGTCAGCAGGCGCACCGTCCGAGAGGACTCTCTGTTCCTGCCCACGACCAGTGCTGCTCTCTGTCCATCTGTCTGTGCAGGTAAAGCCTCATCGTGGAGTGGTTCTAAGATTAACACAAAGCATTTTGTTAAGGAAGAATCTGCATCGCCTAAAGGAGAGTGAACAAAGTAACCTGCCTAAGGGGTCCTGAACTTTACAGTAGCAGTATATGCTGCAAATAATTCCAATAAATGCAATCTTCTGTGTGCAAGTGTTTCCACAGGTAATATTGATGTATTTGCAGCTGCTGCTAAACAGGAAAGCAGCAGTAGAGAGGCAGGAGAACAGCTGTGCCAGTAATCAGATTTTCCAGAAAGATGACTGTCAACACAGGTTCAGGCTCTGCTGAAATCTCTATTTTTCATGACAATTGGTTCTTGGTCTCCATGGGAACTTACAACAAAAGCTAAGAAATAATGTTCCTGTGGTAGAGTTTTAGATACAGGCTTAACCTCAGAGGAACACTCTTAATATCAAGCCATTCATGAGATATGAAATTGCAAGAAAGTGCTAAACCTTGTATATACATTTTCAGACTTTTATTCCTTCAAGTTCATAGTTTATCATTTATCAGAAAATGTAATTTGTTTCTTCTGAGTCACTGGTGTAAATTTGCTAGTGACTCATGTTATTTTTGAAGGCTAACAAAGAGATTCAATGCCTGCAAATTTTTGGAACAGCCTTCCTGAACATTTTGCATCTGCCTAATTCTGAATGCTTTTTCTGGATAAGTTTTATAATTTCAGTACATCATCATGCCCTATGCTAGCTACCTAAAGATTTTAACTGGTTATTACAAGTAATTTTTTAGCCTGTTTGTAGGTAAGTACTGTTGTTGGGAACATGAAGGAATATTGATTTAGGATGGAAAATCACGGTGATTTCTGCATACCGCTCTTTTCTGTGTTCATTTACCTGCTCTATAACCCTCTCTGCTTGCACATGACAGAGCTTTCTTCATCTTAATACCATGACTGGA